GGGCCTGGGCCTGGGCCCGCGCCCGGCCGCTGGCGCTACGTGTAGCCCCGGAGGGGCCCCGTGTCCCGGTGCGGGCAGCCCCCGCGAGGCGGTGCGTGGGCCCTGAGCTCTCCGGTTCCCTTCCTTCGGGACCCTCCCTCACGCTGCCTCCCCCGCCAAACGGCTACCGCCGGTTACGCGGCAGCGGGCCAGGGGCGGTGGAACCGGTTTGTAGTCGGGTTGTTGTAGGGGGGCCGGGGGGAAATAATCCGGTAACGTCCTTACAGCCCCACCGCTTCCCGAGGGGAGGCCTCCAGCTTAAAGTCTTTCAGGCTGCTGAGCTCTTGTCCTCAGGGCGGCCGTTGCCGCGCTTCCTGGTGCCCTTTGGGGTGGTCCCTGTCCGCAGCCCTTCGGGCTGGGGGGGGTGTCTGGTGGGGCAGGGAGGCCCCTTGCCCCCTTCGGGAAGCGGGTCAAGCGCGGAGGGGTGAAGGTGCGAAGAGTCGGAAACCTCTCGTCTCCTCAGATGCATCACTGTAAGAGATACCGCTCGCCAGAGCAGGAGAGCTACCTGGGTCACAGGTGGAAGAGGAAGAGGTCTCGTAGCAGAGACTACGAGGGGAGACTGCGATACCCCCCACGGAGGGATCTCGCCAGGAGATCGCGATCGAGAAGGTAGGAGCGGGTTTGGGCAGAGGGAGGGAGGCCTGCCTGCCAGCAGCCGCTCTGGCAGGCGGGGGAGCGAGCGGGGACGGTTATCTACTAAACCCTAGTCCTCCATTCTGATCGTGTTTCAGAGCCAGCGCTGAGTGGTGGCAGCTTTCATTTCCTGACTGTGGATCAGCTTTAAACCTGTAAATCCCAGGGATGGAAGTAAAGGGCTTAATTGTGTGTGCCCTCCTTTATACATTTCTGTCTCTGCATCTAGCCAAAAGTTCTTCCCAAAGCGATGTCTTTAATATTGATGAGGGAGAACAGCCTGCCCTGGAATCATGTTTCCCAGGTCTAATACTGTGGAGGCATTAAAGTCTTTCTCTCCCGATAACCCACTTCCTTCTGAAAGTATTACAAATCAGATTTAAAGTAACGACACTTTTCCATCACCTACGCTGTCAGAAAGGCTCTGAGCATTGCTAACTGATCTTTCCTGCTTCGGCTCTGGATTTTACCCTTGATCCCCTCTTTGTTCAGCATTTCCACAGGGACAATTAGACACTGGAAGCGGGGTGGATAAGGCCTCTGATAACGGGAGCTGTGGTGAGGGTTCTGGAACAGAGGCGGGAGCACTGATGGGGAGCCGGGTGCTGACGCGTCGGGGTGTGCGACTGAAATAGGCTGGCGGTCCTCGCTGCTCAGTGGTACCGGACCTGGTGCGGTTCCACTGGTTGAACAGGGCAGGTGCAGCCAGAAGGGAGCTGAGTTCATCTTTAAATTCCTGAAATGTTCCACAGATTAATTTCTCTTCTCAGCCTGGCTTTTTGTTTACGTGAAGGAAGCAGATTGTGAAATACAGCTGACACACACAATGGGCTTCTCCATTTTTTCATCTGATGGGTTACGTGGGACAGATTTGGATGAAAACAGGCTTTTGCTAGGTGAAAACCTTCTTGCCCCTTTAGTCTCAGACTCTGAGCCTCTCACAGGTTCGCTGGTCTCCTCCGTATTTTAGGTTGTTATTTCTGAATTCTCTGTATCTTAAAAGTACACACTGGAGTTTTTCACAGAAGTGTGTTTGGAGTTGAGTATTCAGTGTTGCAATGGAGGTGTGGGGGTTTTTGGTGTTTTGGATAGTTCAGCGGTGACCTAGAGCCGCTGCTGTGTTGGGCAGGCAGTTTGAAATTTTATTCTTGAGCCAAGGTGAGATGAACCCACCACATGCATACCTGCGTCCTGTTAAGCTGTCAGTGAGAGAGCTAATTGTTGCCAAAGCAGAGAGGCACAAGCAACAAAAGTTCCTGTTTCCGGACTGAAGCAGCTGCAGTGAGGTCTTGGTTGGAGAAGCCGTTGCTTTTGCTGTCAGCTAGATGACAGCATCGACCTGGCCTGGCGTGTGCCCAGAATGCTCTGTTCATCATTGGAAAGCCAACACGCTGTTCTTATTTCTGAGTTGCAACATCTTCTGTCTAAAATGCAGCTTCTCACTCAGTGATGTGTGAAGCAAGACTTGGAGTGGAAGCTGTTTTATTAGGCCAACTGTAACGGCTGTGGTGGAGAAGACAGTCATGCTTTTGGGGACAGAAGTGGGCCGCTGCTAAGCAATAACCATTTTTGCTGTCCAGTTTGAGAGGTGCCATAACAGTGCTGCCAAGGAAGCATGTGGGACCTGCAGAGCAAAAGGCAGGAGCTGCAGAATTGCAGCTTTATCTCGAGACACTTGCAGCTTGTAGATGCTCGATGCTCGCTAATTGAGGGTGGGGCAGGGAGAGCTGCTCTCTTGGTTAATGTACACACACGGTACCTAAAACTGCATGCACGAAACCAGCTTGTAGATACTCACACAGTGGAGCTTCATGTGAGGTCTTCTGGCCCTTCCCCGTGCAGAGATGAACTTGGCTTAAAGTTTCCCTTACATACTCGCAGCCCTCGGTTGTTGCTAGAGACGCAGGAGCTTGACTGTGCTGTGGAGACCAAATTTTCCTTCTGGCTCTTACTAATGATCTGTTGAGCTGGTGTGCATGTGTACAGTGAAGGCTTGGTGTTTAGGGGACTCCAGTCCCCCTCCTGGGGTGATGACAAGAGCACCGCTGCTGGTTTCAGTTCTCATTTGTTTGAGAACTAATGAGAGGCCTTCCTGGGGGAGGAGAAACGACCTTAGAAAAACACGTGCATAGGGTGGTAGAGGTGGCTTAGATGAGGTAGGCAGCTCAGATTTAGCTCTAAGTGGGTGGTTTCCCCCCGTGGCTCCTTGAAATGTGGGAGTGCCACACCATTTTCTCTTGCAAACTTCCTCCTTTTTCTTAATCTGAGAAGTGGGCAGCATTTGAGCCACAGTGGAGGAGTGGTTTGAAGCTAGGACGCTTGCTGTTGTTTCTCTGCCACTAGGGAGTGGGAGCAAGGGCGCTTAGTTTCAGCGGGACTCTTGCCTTCCGTGCTTTTCCAGGCTTATAAATGCATTTTTATTTGTGCTACAGCCATGACAGGATGCCTTATCACAGGAGATACAGGCGGGACAGCGATGCCTACAGATTTGAAGACCGAAGCCCATCTTTTGGAGAGGACTATTACTCGACCCGCTCACGAAACTGGCGGCGATCCAGAGGCAGAGAGCAGCACCGTCTGAGGAAGCATCAGCATCACTGCCGGAAACGCAGGACCAGGTCTTGTAGCAGTGCCTCCTCGGTGAGTAGCATCCAGAACGAGCTCAGGATTGTTCAGGGTTTTAACTGTTCTTGCCTCCTTTCAGCTCTGAACACTCTGGGTGAGTACCTCTAATCCCCTTTTTTTGTGTTTGTTTTCATTACGTGGAACGTATAGTCCAAAATCTGTGTCTTGTCAAGCGGGAAGCATTTGTAGCTATTGGTTTTTACTAGTCCAGCCCCTGTAGCCTTAATACGTGAGGAAACTAAGCTGTATTCTTTACGGCCGGGGAGGGGATCAGGGAAAGCTTCAAATGGCACACATGTGATAGGCTAACAAGGGCGAGCCTTGGCCGCAGGCCAGTCCAGCTGCTGGGGATCAGTCAGGTTTATACATGGCCGGGGCTTCGCTTCTGCATACTGCTGCTGCTTCTCTGGGGGGTTTTGGTATGCAGCGGTGGTACGGAGCGCTCCTGTGAAGGCATGTTGATTTGACTTTGTGCCAGGATCCTGTACCAGATGGGATCAATCAGCCTGGTTCTCCTGAGTTGTTAGCCCTGTGGTTATTAACCCCTGTCCCACTGTACTCAGAGAAAGGCTTCCACCTTCTGAGGATATGCATGTGTCCTCTTTGCCTATTTCCCCGCAAGTGTCCTTGGATTTCGGCTTCTCTGAAAGCTTCCCTGTTTTCCACCCTGAAATGCAGTATTCCTTTCAAAGATTAACAGGGAATATTTGGCAGTGGGTGGGGAGGCTGGTCCCAGGACCAGGAATACCCTGGAAGTGTTGTGAGGTATCGGACCAAATGTCTCTGCTTCACAGCTGCTCTCCTGTAAGGAATGTTTCCTTCTTTCACACGATTGTTGCTTTTAAATGTTTTTGCAACTAAATGACCGAGTCCTGATCCCTGCAGTTATAGTGGATATCTGCATGGCTGGGAACTTCTGACGGTCTGTTGCTTTCCTCCTTTTATTTCTTTCCAGTTGACTTTTTAATTTTAGTTTTAGAAAGAGCCAGGGTTAATGATGAAAATGATCCAGTGTCGTTTGCGTGTATGCGTGCGATGGTAATGGTGTGCAGGTTTGGGCTGGTGTGATCTAAATCCTTTGAAGTCTCACGGCTGTCTCAAATGTCCTCTCTACCTTCTCCTCCGTTTCAGCTGACCTTTGGGGGTTTGATTATAGCTGATTATTTTGGACTAGCTGTGGGGCGAGGGACATAGAAGAGAAGCCTGATAGAAGCTCGGGCACGGAAATGTAGAGCTTCGTATTAATTTCTTTGGCTGTAGAGATTGTAACTATTTTTAAGGCTGAACAGAAAAAGATCAGGAATTAGGGCAGCTTGCTTTGTGGACACTGGGTCCTTTCAGGAACGTTCGGCTGGTTTTCCAGTAGAAGCTAGCAGTAGCAGGGGTGAAATGTGACCTCATACCTTCAGTGGATGCCTGAAGCGGAGTGAAAAGTTCCCTCAGGATTAATTTAACTGTCCTGTTCCTAAAGTTCTCCCAGGCTCAAAATTGCATCCTGAGGCCGATGTGGAACACCGGGTCTGTTTGCAGCCAGTTGGGCTTATGGATTTAGGATCAGTGTGGTAGTTGGTTCTGTCAAGGAGGGAAGGGCTGGTTTGTAGCCAGGGCAGGACACGGCTCTGGGTAGCTGGTGATCTATTAACCCAGGTACAAAAGAGCAGGCTACACAGAGGGAGAACTGCTACTCTGGCTTCTACTGGACAGCTTGTCCAAACCGACAGCTTGTATACCCCTCGTCACGTTTGCCAGCGGAGAAAATGACGTTCTTCTGGCAAAGCCCTCCTTCTTCTTGTGCCTCTGTCAGCATCCGCCAGTGCTGCGGAGGAAGCTGCTCCCCTGTGGGGAATGGTGGTGCCAAGCCAAAGCCACCTTAACACTGGAACTTCCCAGCTGCTGCTTCCCTTCAGAGAAGAGGGGGGCATTTTCTTGCCTCAGAGGTGGCGGCACCAGAGGCTGTAGCTAATGAGAGAGTTTTCTTTACATACCTGTAGCTGTTGATTACTTTTCTGTTTTGAAGTTAGTTTGTGTCTTGACGTGTCCCTTGCAATATCCCTATCGTTATATATGCTGTGTGCCTTATGAAATGCTGGGATCTGGAAAATCCAACCACCGACGCACCGTCATCTCCACCTTTGAATGACAACACAATCCTGCCACTCGGAACTGCCCGCTGTGCGTGCTTGGTCGTATGCCGTTTCGGGGGGCGGTGTGTACAGAGAAGCCAACAGAGCAGTAAGCGCAGCAGGAGCGTGGAAGATGACAAGGAAGGCCACCTGGTGTGCAGGATCGGCGATTGGCTTCAAGAGCGATGTACAGCCACCTTTCGTAAAACTTTACCTCTCTACTTTCTATCCCCATGTTAGACGAGATCTCTCGTATTGTACTGGAGGGGTCTCTAGTGTTTTATTGCTTATAAATGGACTGACCAGTAAATTGCTTGAGGCAGACAATAGACACTTGAGTTTTAAAAAGAGTGTAGCAGTGAGAGACATTTTTTTGCTTTGACATTTTATTGCTGTGAAATTGCAGGACCTCAGCTCTTGCCAAGCCTCTGAACTTGACATCCGCTCCTGTTTTCTCTCCTAGATGAAATTGTCGGCAGCCTTGGTGAAGGCACTTTTGGCAAAGTGGTGGAGTGTGTGGACCATGCCAGGTGGGCGTCTTTCCCTTCCAGATAACTCGTCTGTCCCTTGTGCACCAAGCCCAGATAATCACAAGCCTGGCAGGATTAACCACCACCAGTTTTGTCTGGGCCTGGGACTCCACTGGACCAAACTGTTGTCACCTTCCACTTGTTGCTATGGTAGAAGCTATTTCTTATAGCAAGTGGAAAGGGACCTGGTTCATACCTCAGCCCCCTGAGTTTGCAGGCTGTGCTGTTAAGGGAAGCAGGGGAGTTTGTTCAGTGGCTGAGGGCTTTGGCACAGGCTGTTCTACTGCAGTGAACTCTGACTGAGGGATTGGCCAGGCACGTGGGGAAAGTGGCATCTTAATCTGCTGGGGTACTTCTATTTTATTTATTTTTTTTTTTTTTTTAACCTCTGCTGTGATTACACTTGACCCCTGTCTCTTCCTGACCTTTTGTCTGGCTCCGAGCTGCTGGGATCTCGTGCCTCCTCCGAAATCTCTCTGGCACAGTTGGAGAGGGGAGGTGGCTGCTGGACTTGCAGTGACCTTGCGGACTGCTGTGTCAGGGAATGGTGTGCTCACAGAGCTGTCTGCAGCTCTCTTTGGAGTGTTACCCAGCAATAGTCTTTCGCTTCAAATTACCTACTGGTCAAGCAGCATAAATCTTTGGCAGACCTTGAGAGAGCTTTGTTGGGACCCAGAAACGACTAAGCCTTTTAACACAGGAAAACGGGACTGGAGTAACTGGGATGTGCCCTCTCTCTGTGGACTGAGGAAATGCGTACGTAGGGTTTTTCTCTGACTCCATCCTTTTGTCTCTTCCCTTACAGAGGCAAATCTCAGGTGGCACTGAAAATCATAAAAAATGTTGGAAAGTACCGAGAAGCAGCCAGGCTGGAAATTAATGTCCTGAAAAAAATCAAAGAGAAGGACAAGGAGAACAAATTGTAAGTTCCTGCAAGACTCCTGGGTAGTCAGTACCACGTTCCTTCCAGACAAGCGGTCTGCTTGGGCGATATCCAAAGAAACACAAGGCTGAGGACTGGAATACCTGCTACTTGCCTCCTGCATGGGGGAAAACCTGTCTCATTCCTCTGTGTTTTGGAAGAAGAGAGTCTGTCTCTAGTTCTACTGAACACTTGTTTACTTAAACTCTTAACTGACATGCCAGGTGATAGTGAGGAAAAACTAACTAGAACTTTTCCAACAACCACCTGCTGCCTTGTCCCACTTGCACTGGAGATCTCTAAAGGTGGTTGAGCAAAGTGGGGAGCGGGGTGTCTGTCTGGTGTACACAGAGGCATTGCTGTGCTTCTGAGTCAGCTGGCTTGGAGCTTTTGCTCACCAACCACTTCTGAAGTCACCAGAAACAGGGAGAATGACTGTTCTGTTGAGTCCCTGAATGATGGTTAATCCTCATGTCTTTCTCTCTGCACAGCTTGTGTGTCCTGATGTCAGACTGGTTCAACTTCCATGGCCACATGTGCATTGCCTTTGAGCTTCTGGGCAAGAACACTTTCGAGTTCCTGAAGGAGAATAACTTCCAGCCATACCCTCTCCCTCAGATCCGGCACATGGCCTACCAGCTCTGCCATGCCTTGAGATGTAAGTCACCCAGGACCAGCCTTCCTCGGCAACAATGTCTCACCAGAATGGGTTGGGAGGGAGCTGAGAAGGAGTTGGCTTGGCTGAAAGTGGCGCTTTGATGGGCAGAGTTGTATGGGTGCTTCAGTGTGTGGTTCTTATAATTTTTTTTTTTTTCCCTCTCTCGTCTTTGCGACTTGTGCAGTTTTACATGACAACCAGCTGACTCACACTGACCTCAAGCCAGAAAACATCTTGTTTGTCAACTCGGATTTTGACACTCTGTACAATGAGAAAAAGGTGGGTTATGTCCAAAAGAGAAGTGAATAGATCAGGAACAGCCTGCCTTTCCCTCCCTGCAGAAATTGGATCTTCCCTGTTCCATACACGCCTCACAGGGCCTTACAAGTCCATTTAGTGGGAACAAACTGGAAGTTGGGCCTCCTCTTTCTCCCATGTCTTCTAAAAGCCCTAAGACTGCTTCAATAGCTCCAGTCCATCAAGTGAAGTGTTGAGTGGCCTTCCTTAACACTGATCTGAGATGTAAAGAGCTCAGAGCTTCACTGGTATAATCCTGTCTGATTAGTAGCACAGGCATGGCACTTCTGGGGTCAGAGGGCTCCTCTCAAAGCCTGGTGTAATCCTGAACCAGCTATTATGAGGACTTCTTTGTTTGCTTACAGAGCTGTGAGGAGAAATCCATTCGGAACACAAGCATTCGTGTGGCAGACTTTGGAAGCGCCACCTTCGATCACGAGCACCACACCACTATCGTGGCTACCCGGCACTACCGTCCACCAGAAGTGATTCTGGGTGAGTACTGCTGGGGTTTTGGGAGTCTCAGATGGGTGGAGGAGAGCAGTTGCCCCAGGGATGCTGCAGGATGATGCTGTCTAGAGGAAAACCAGCTTGAGAGCACTCCAGTTCTTGGGGACAACCTGTTCCATGCATTGCTGCGACACCACCTCAGTGGTTCTGAGGTCCTGACTGTATGGAAGGTATTCAAGTGCAGGCCCTTGACATGGAGTGCAGAAAGCTGAGGAAGGCCTGTGAGACTCTGAGAGCGCTCAAATTGGTTCCAGGGGAATGTGGAGTCAGCATAAGCTGAAACAGAAGCATCTGGGGGAGACCTGACAGTCCTCTTGCCAGTGTGCAGCACCGGAAGGTGCACAGATAACTTGTAGGTCTGTCTTCATTAATCTCTGCAGTTTCAACCAGGAACTAGTAGAAATCTAGTGTGACTTGTTGAGAGCACAGAGTTAACTTGATTCTCTTTGCAGAGCTGGGCTGGGCACAGCCATGTGATGTCTGGAGTACCGGCTGCATTCTGTTTGAGTATTACCGTGGCTTCACGCTCTTCCAGGTACAATTCTTGCAAGAGGCATTGTACCCTAAGAACCCTTAATGTCTAAAAGGGCTCAAACTTAGGTGAAGGGAGGGGAAATGCAGATCAGGCACTAAAAATCAGAATCTGAGTTTGAAAATGAGCCCAGGAAAACTCACAGTTTGAGGACTCATCCCTTGCTGGAAGGACAAGGTTCAGATCACTTCTGCTTTCTTCACTGTGCTGGTGAAGAACAGAAAAAAATCAAGAGAGGAAGCAGAGGTGCACAGAGCCTGCATCATTCCTGATGGAGGCTTGTCTCTTCTTCCCCTGTACAGAAGGGGGACAGACCTTTTGTCATCAGATCTCCAAGTTCTGAATGAATGCACCATTGCTCTTTTCCTTTGCAGACCCATGAGAATCGTGAGCATCTTGTCATGATGGAAAAAATCCTCGGGCCAATTCCATCTCACATGATCCACAAAACTCGGTAAGAACATCTTCCTGAACCCAGACAGTCCAGTCAACAGTTTGTGGCCAATTACTCAGGATACCAATTCTCTGTCCTCACACTGGGTGTAACCATGGGAGATGATGTGCTGGAAGTATGTCCCATGAGTGGCCTTCCTGAATGCCACCTTTCTTTTCCAGGAAGCAAAAATATTTCCACAACGGGAACCTGGTATGGGATGAGAACACGTCTGATGGGAGATACGTCCAAGAGAACTGCAAGCCCCTGCGGGTAGGTGCAGCTTTGTGGCTGGCAGAGGGCTGGCTGTGTTGCGAGGCTGAACTGCTGTTCCCTTCCCCGGATCAGCGGTGCAGGGCTTAGGGATGGGAATTTCCCTTAGTAACTGGCTTTTACAGAGCCCCTGACTCGCATCTGCAGCAACTGGAGTTTATTGGTGTGGCTGAAGCAGGACGGGTAGTAGGGAATCGGAGGGATGCTGTACTTCAGGATGGGAAGCCTGGAGAGAGGAGACAGATGTTGTCTCGCTGTATATCACAAAACTAGGGCTTAGGGTTCAGTCCCTGTTGTACCAGAGTGCTACACCTCTCTCTCCCTGTCTCCCCCTGCCCTTCTCTTTCAGACGTACATGCTGCACGACTCGCTGGAGCACGCACAGCTCTTTGACTTGATGAGGAGGATGTTAGAATTCGACCCTTCCCGGAGGATCACGTTCTCAGAAGCCCTCCTGCATCCCTTCTTCACTGGCCTCTCTGCAGAGGAAAGGATGCTGTGCGGTCGAGGTGCCAGCCGGGACCTGAGCAGATGACAGCTGGGAAGGGTGTGATGCCTGCTGGATTTGTACATACGGGATCGGTCTAGCCTCTGCAGTTCAGCTCCCCTTGCTCTCTTCTCCCAGAGTTCAGAGGGGCTGGGGCACTGTGACAAGGACCCTGGGTAGGGGAAGGGAAGAACAGCTACATTGGAAAGCACAGATTTGTCTATTTATATGTTGTAAAGTTAAAATAAAGTGTTTCTTATTGTTTGATACTTCCCTTGTAGGCAGGTGTAGGGTTCTCTTGCTCTGAGCTTTGCCTTTTCTGCAAAGGAAGCTGGAGATGTTGAAAAATTAACTGGAAACTAAGCAGCAGGAAGCTTTGCTTCACTGGAGGGCAAAAAGTGAGGGTGAGTGGACCGAACTCTCCCTGCCCTTGCTCCTCTGAACAGTGCAGAGCAGTAGGAAGGCTTGCTCCAGCTGTGGCATCAGGCCACAATGATAGTGGACAAATAAATAGCTGCACACAAATAGCACACATGAATAGTTGCACTTTATTTCAGGGCATTCCCCCAGTAGTGGCAGGAATTAGTCGTTACAAACATTAGGTCACAAATGGAATATCAAGCAGTGACATAGTGCTTCTTCACATGTTAGTGACCAGAGCAGCACTTGCAGGCAGTTCCTGTGATGGTGGTTAAGGTTGTGGGTAGAAACTATCATCTCAAACACAGCTAAAAAAAGTGTTCCATTCTTTGAATTAACTCTGACAATGTGGGGAAGGGGAAGAAGAAGGGACCCAGACCCCTTTCTGGGTCTCTGAGTGCTCCAGAAGAGCTCACATCTGCACAGAAGATGCCTTTCACATGAGTGAGGCCGGTACTTCCTCAAGTAAGCCTTTGTATCTGAGGGAAAGTACAGCCAAATACCCAAATCTACTCTCTTCTCCAGAAGGTGAGCACAATGTCACATTTAACCATGCCAAACACAGCCCAAAGCTGCCTGCTGCGCCCTAAACACTGCACAGTAGGGATTGGGAATCCCTTTCCTTACATGAGGGTTGTGCAAGACCGCTCACTTTTTTTTTTTTTTGCTTAAACCTGGGGAACCCTGTTGCTGCACAGCTGGCAATGCACAGGACCTTAAATGCTTTCTGGAGCAGACCTGATCCTAGCTGCCATCCCTGCAAAAAAACATCTTTACCTGGTTCAGTGCCCTTCCTCTGGGCATGTAACTTCAGCCAGTGGCACAGCAGTGTAGAGGCAGAAAAGGACCCTGTGATGAAGCCTTGAGTATTTCTACACTGCTAGCGCTCAGTGTGTACAATCTACAGTTTAATAGCCAAACCCAGAAGGGGCAAGGAAAGCCTGCAGCCTGGTTCAAGGAAAGCAGAAATTGAAACAGCAAGTTCTCTTACCAAGTGTCTTGAGCAAGGAAAGTGAAAATAAGGGGACTAAAGCTAACACTGTACTACAGCAACAACCAGGGGACCAGTCATCCACCTTTTTAAGCCAGCTGCTGCTCCCTCTGCCTGGCTAAAGATTAGATGAAGCCGAAAGAGCTGAGAAACAAAAAAGGCAGAGGGAAGCCTCACAGTTGTATTTTAAATGACCAACCCCATTGCTATCCCTTCCCAGTGCAGCCAAGTCAGAGCCAAAGCTTGTTAAATGCCACTACAGTTCTAGCTGAAACATAGCTCACCTGAGGAATAGGTGCTTCGGCTTTGCCCTTTCTATGGAAGAGGAACCACTCGAGGGCACAGCTACACCCCATCACAGCACTGACACAAGTCACCGAGCCCCTCCGTGTGAGTGCTAAGGCCACTCAACATAAGCCAGTGGATGCGGTTCAGTCATCTAGCCCTCAGCAGGGAAAGCAGCTCAGGGGAACCAGGGGTCCAGACACAGAAAGGGGCAGAGCCCTTCATCCTGCTGAGGTAGATACGGCAAGGTGCAGGCAGTTTGGCAGGGAAAGAGACCTCAGGCAGCTGTGGGGGCAAGCCCAGCGCTCACCAGCCTCCTGTCATACAGGCTGAGTCTTACCCCATCGCTCCACACTTCCAGGCAGTATTAATTGCTCAATTGCTTCTTTTCAACCAGGCAAGTCTCTTCCCTCCTCCTCTGATATGCTTGGCCTTTGTTCTAAGCAGATGAAAGGGAAAGGCAAGTGCCTGATCTGTAAATCCTCACCACTCGGAGCACAAGTGGGTCAATAGGTTTGCTAAGTGGGACTCTACCTGCTTAGCAGAGCACAGCCTCAGAGCAGCTACAACAGTAGGTGACCATTTCCACACATCCCTGCACTTCAGCCTCAGAAGGGATCCAGCTCCCCTGGAGAAAAGGAACCGCTTGAAGCTCTGAAGCTCTCCCAGATGCCAGAACAGGGTCTGTGCAAGGTTTAGGTACCTGCAGGAGCTCTGGGGACAGGTAAGGTAGCAGAAGAGCAGCATAGCTCCAAGCGCTGCCCGCGCTCACGGCACCGGGAGCAAGCAGGGAGCCGAGCGCCTCTTTGCAAAAATAGGGCCCCTGCCTCGCATCTGCCTGGCTCCTCTGAAGAACAACTTGCCCCTTACGGCATGTCCTGCACCGCTCTTCCTGGGTCAGTGGTACAGCACTTCCCTGGGTCAGCTACCAGGTGCAAAGCCTTCAGAGAGCACGCACAGAGCCAGCGCGATGGATTCCCAAAGCCAGCTAGCTGATGGTTTCTCAGCTTGTCCCTGCTCTAGGCACTGCACCAAGGCTCCACTGGGCCAACAAACATTGGGCCAACAAAATCAACGCAGGAAAAGATAACCCAACGCTTCCCAGCAGCGCATGGCAAGCGAGTGCGGCACAAGAGCAGTCAGCAGAGCAACCTGGGGCAGATCCCCTACAGTAATTCAGACAAGAGCCTCCTGCCATACCCCACCAGGAGGGCAGCAGCTCTCACCACACCATCTCCTGCAGGCAAACAGGACTGTGTGAGCTGAGGACCCAAGTTGTCCCAGCACACGGGTGCACAAACACAAGCCCACCCTATACACAGGCTTTGAGCCCAAAGAGAATGAACAGATCCATGACCTATTTCCCAAACCACACTGAGGGATACTGGAAACACTGGAGGGAACTTACCCAAACATCACCTGCACCACACACCACGCAACAAAGTCAGAGTCACGCTGCCCTGCTTCGCTATGCTTTCCCTGATTCAGCCATCCACCGTGCCAGAAAGAAGAAAGAAAAAACAACCCCAAAACCCCACAACTATCCTGCAAAAGTTCTTTTCCAAAACATGCCTTAATCCCATAGACCTGGGCTTCACCCACCAACTGAACAAACAAAAAGCCAACAGAGTATATAAGCAAGTAAGGCCTAGCTGAGGACACCGGTGTTCCCAGAGCATGTGCGACCTGAGAGCTTCTGGCTCTTGACACAAGCTTTCTGAAGAGGGAACGCTCTCCTTGAGGGGCTGGAGGGTCCAGGAGGGAGAGCGAGCTACAACTGCCTTCAGGAACATAAAACAGGGGAGGGGTGAGTCAAAAAGAACAATGGAACGAAACCAAATCCTCCCTCCCGGTATGACTGCAACAGAAAGTATTTCTACACAATCAAGGGGTGCTGTTCCTACCAGGACGCCCTTGCTGGGTCTATTCGCCCAAAAGAACAGAAACACATCTTCAATCTCCAAACCACCCATCACTTGTACCCCCTCCACGTACACCCCCTCATTAAACAGCCTCCTGGCCAGGCCTGGGCAACAGAGGCCACCTTTGCCAGGGACAGACACCATCTTCCTGCGTGTTCCCTTCATACAATGGCACAAGAGAATGAAAACAGCTTTGCAGGAACATTCGATTCCTTCTTTTTTTTTTGTTTCATTTTGTGATTATTCTTTTTTTTTTTTTTTAAATACGCAATGTTTCTTCTGGAAGGAAAACTCTCCAGAACTTCACATCCTTAAGGCGTCACGAGTTTACTAGTCAGGATCCACTGGACAGCTTATTTGACAGACCTCCTCCTTCTCTCTTCTCTCCCTTCAGAGCCGTGGGGTTGGACAGGCTCTAAGTGGAGTGCAGGGGGATGACGAATTTGCAGCCGAAGGGCGAGTGGTAGTTTATTCCCACTTCTTGAAAGACCTTCTGGGGAATGCCAATGTCACAGAGGTACACACGCCCTGCCCTCTCACCCAGGGGCAGGGGCAGGCCCAAGGCCAGCGACCACTTGGCATCGATACCCTGCTCCATTTCATTTATCGGAGGGTCTATGCTGAGGACGGGTGCCCGGTTCTGGTTGGCCCAGTCCACAACTGCTTTGTACCAAGGCTGATCTCTCAAAAAGGCATTTTCATGACAATCCAGGCAGTTGATCACCAGGTCAACAGGGGTATCTGGGAGATCTGAAAGAAACACAAACACCGCTGAGGACCAAACTGAAACCATGAACTAAGGCTCAGTGCATTCCGTCTTTGCACTGCCAGCAAATTTTTCTTTTTTGCCTCCAGCATGCACAGTCTCACTGCATACAGTCTGGCTTTACCTGTTGTTGCTGCCGTCCTGCAAAAGACACCAACGCCAATATTTAAAAGCTCTTTAGCACTCCAGAGAACGTTCAGACTCTCAGATACAAAATCTCATCAAGTGGTCAGCACTTGAGCAGCCCCAGATGCTGCCACTGAGCAAGCTCACCAGCCCAGGCAAGCAGTGGTGCTCTCCCTCCATTGTAAAAGGATCACTTTATATTCCGCAAACTGAAAAAAAGGCCTATTTTTCCTGCAACACATCAACCACCTCTGCTATGGAAAGGCAGCTTGTGTGCTGCACTGCTGCCTGCCCCACTGACCTCCATTGATCTCACTGCACTCACCTGCTCTGTACCACATCTGCTGCATTCCTCTTACCTGATGGACCACAAAGTCCTTGGTGCAAGGACACCTCTTCTATAACAGGCAAGTAGCTCAGCCAGCGCAGCCCTCTGTGCCAAAACATTGTGCAGTGCCCTAATTCCCAGGTTTGTTTCTCCCAAGAAGTTTAAATGAACCCAGTTTGAAAACACCGCTGGTGAAATGACAAACAGAAGCCAGCTCTGTCACAGAAGATGGAGCATCAGTTTATTCTAGGAAGTACTAAGATCTGAATTTTGACAGCTGCTGGGACTAGTTCAGCAAAGCTGTCTGCTTGGTTTGAAGCAGCAGTTGGATGCTCATTTACTTGCAGTTTCAATATGCTGAACAAGGAAGGCCTTTATCCTAAGAGGATGGCTGGTCTGAATCAGATCCATACAGCAGCTCTTCCATATTTGTTCATACAGGAAACATCTGTACCAGCACAA